CTTTGTGCCTTCATGTACTTTCTTCCCTTTTCAACAAGAGTGGACCAATCCCACGAAGAGTCGATGTACTCCGCAACAACTTCAGAAGAATAGGGCTTAATTAATACATATTCAGTGTTATACTGGCCATACACGTAACCTTCGGCAAAAGCAGCAATTACTCCACCAGCACTGACAAGAGAGGGTGAAACAAATGAATCCCACTTCGTCCCCAAAGTACCTCCACCTTCCGGCAGCACCAGCGTCGTCTGCGGCACAAATAGATCGACCCATTGCAGCTCCTGAATACTTCTTAAATCACTGTTGCCATCATTCTCCTTTGCAGGCGCAGCTCCACAGGTGGCGCAGCACATCGTCGTGACGAGGAGCAGCAGCACCGCGGAAGCAAACACATGCCGGGACATGTTGGACCTCTGCGGCTCACTCTCTCTTCCTTCCCTCCTCATTCCGCTGGATCCAGTCACGCGGCGACGGTTGTGTGTGCGGGGTGCCTTCACTGAAGCAACACGTGAGAGCATATAAATATGTGTGTGTGGGCGGTGTGTGTGTTGTTGGTCCTTTCAAAGCCTTCGTATTTCACAGTAGCGATTAGCGCTTTTTTGCTTTCTTTCCTAGCGTGTCTGTGTTCAACAAGTGGAGAGTACAGCAGCAACAGCGGCAATACATCAGAAAAGTCAGTGAGGAGCAGAGCACCCACGCAGAGAGCAGGACACAAGAGAATCCGAAAGGGACGGCACGGAGGACCATCGCCCACAGAAAAGAGCAGCAACACGGCAAGTCACGGCGGGCCGTCGGTGTGTGCGGGCCAGCCCTCACGCGGTGCAACACGCCACACCCAACAGGGAATGACAGACAGACAGGCGGAGGGAGATGGATGCCGTCAAGAGGCACTCAAAATCAACATGGCCCGTGAGCATGCGGCCACTCCGCGCAGGAACACAGGAGAAAAGGATGAGAGGGGAAAAAAGCAAGAAGCAGCACAACACACACGGAAGAGACAAACGACAGACGGGGAAAGCACCGCCGCGGCCCTCGCCCTGGCCGGCAACTCCACACCAGTCCTTAATTACACACCATCGCGGTGCTGTCAGTCACCGGGTGAGAGAATTCGGCCCTCCACACAACAAACGCACACAGAGCCAGCAGTCACCTACCGTGGACGAGGAGGAACAACACACAGCCTCCGCCTCCAGCTCAATCCCACGGACAACGGGATACGGCCACAGCCCGCTGCCGGCACACAGCGCACGCGGAGCAAGCAATCACCCAAAGAGCCACACGCGGAAGCGGATCCCCACCCATGCATGACGCGGCGCCTCACTCCACGCGGTCACACGGAATGCACTGTTTCCTCAATGGAACTTATGCCTCGTCCATCCCTTAAAGATGCTTCCTCTAATAATGGGGCTTGGAACACCATAGAAAAAAGTGAAAAACGCAGTAATACTGCAATAATGCCGGCCACAATCATCCTCCAACTAAGGTGCAACTCCCCAACTACGCCGCGTATGCACGAACAAGTAACATACCATATAAAAACCACCCAATGTTTTTCACCAGGAACCAAACAACCCCCTTTCCCTCCCTGATTTCTTCCGTCACTGCTACGATCAATAGCGTCGGACATTTTGGCATTTGTGTGCGGTGCTGCCGCATTGGGCTGGTGCACCTGCAGCGTATGCACACATAGGCATCCAAAAATATATAAATTCAAAAAGTGTTTTTT